ATGAATTTTCTTTTAGATTTATTGACAAATAATTTGATTCTTGATTTGTGATTTTTAATCTTTGATTTTAATTTTTAGAATTTGTTATTATTTTTGATATATTCTATGGATATATATATATATATATTTGTGTTAGACCCTTGTGACACTTTGTATTGATGATACACATATGAGTGTTCACTTGGTCTTGTATGTGAGTGGTGTTTAGCATACTTTTATCTATGCTTGCTCACATATGTTTGCCATGTTCATATTTGCATATTTTCCATATGGTCTTTTGATAGGGGGAGCAATCCCTATATCTTTTTATGTTTTATACTCACCCGTACCTATTGATATGGGGAGCTTTTGCTCTCTTATTCTTTTGTTTCCCCATTTTGATGTTGCCAAAGGGGGAGAAATAAGTGGATTGTGAGTATATTTTAAGAGTATTGTGTTTTATTGTATATCTTATATACTCTTTTTGTAGATTATTTGTCGTTATTAAAAAGGGGGAGATTGTTAGGTCTCATGTTATGAGCCTACATCTTCTAATCTTGTTTGATAATTACAAACAATTCCTAATATTTTTTGTCTAGTGTTTATGTTTTCTTATTAGGTATTCAAGACAAACAATATGCTAGAGGATGGATGGACTAGAGCTTTCACGATCATATCCATTGGAGGATGGAAGAAAATAGTGAAATGAAGCCTATGCATACTAGTCAAGATCCAAGTTTAAGCTTCTTCCATGTTTACCAAGAAAATGTACAATAAAGATCTATCAAGCTTGGGTAAATTACTTTAGGTTTATACTTTGTATGTTAATATCATAAGCTCGATATTATACACACACATAATTTAATGGTTTATGTGTTTTATCCATAAAAGTTTTTGCAAACAAATAAATATATAATACTTACTTGTTTTCTATGTGGATAAGTTGTTTTGGTTTAGCTATATAGATATGAAGCAATATATATTCATATTTATGTGCTTCATATTATATTAAATTTACAAAATATTATGTTTATGAATTGAAGACTTACTTACACTATTTTCATATCTTGTATAAGTCTATAAATCCATTCTAAAGTGTTTAAGTCATTCTGGCAAAATCAAGTTTTCAACATGTCACGCCTCGCTTCCCAAAATATCCGAGAATCGGAATGTGAACAAGCCCGTGACGTATTAGATTAATGAGAATAAATAAAAATAAATATTTCTCCTCAACCTAATATGCTAAGCGTCAAGAAATAAATGTAAAGGCATAGGTCCCTGATCACAGATAGCAAGAATATAATGAACAACACAGAATAAAATAATACATATCACAAATGAATATCATCCAAGACATAATATTCGGGTCAACATAAACTTATACAAACTATCTAAATGAAATACTAGAGAATATAAAATACAATAATCAAGCGGAAAAGGAAATGATACAAAAGTAAGCTAAGACCAACGAACAACTAAAGGGAATAACTAGACTTTAACTTCTTCTGCTCGGTCTGCAAGGCACTCCTGTTGAGAATATCCTAACTCTTGCATAATATCTCCAAGCTGGACCTGTTCTTCTTCTAAGTCTAACGTACACCAGAGAAAACAGGTGTACGTCAACATGCATGGCACATGATAAGATCCCACAAAACAAATAGAGCGAACTAAAACCAAACCGAAAATGATACAACCACAGAAATAACTAAAGTTCATACAACTGAAAATCCACAAATCAATATGAAAATCCACTACTAAAACATGATAACATAAATCTAACTGCACACGATAACCGGGTCAAGTACTAGCCATCCTATCACATCTCACTTGTCCACATCTCACACAGAGTCAACGCTCATATCACTGGATAACTGACTGTTCTCAAATCCCCTACACGCATCCAATCCCACGAAACAGGCGGCTAGAGAACTATACACAATCCGATCTCGGCCCGGTCCGGACTAAGGCAAAGCTCAGGTGATGAAACTGATCACGGATCCAAGTGGCAAAACAGGTCATCAACAAACCAACCCCAGGACGAAACAGGTCTCTGGTGTGAGTCTGGAAGATACATCAACATCCTTATCTGATCACATGAACAATAACTTCCCCATCCTAACTCTTCTCGTCTTTCTAAATCAACCATAAACCTCATTAAAACTCAGGTTCACCATCTAAACTCAGTCACACACCCACACATGTCACTAGGTCTCGTTCATCATACATAAGCCACTAAGCCATGGATTCCTAATGATTCTCAATCACAAAAGTACAATAAATACAAACAATCTAGTACAACGATGACATGGCATATCACGTAATTAAATCATGAACAAGAATCATGCACGACTACAAAAACAGTGCAGGATGTAACTACAACTATCAAATAAATACACATGGAATGTCGTAATTTCCTATCGTCAAGATCATAAATTTATTAATTCTAAAAATAATCTTTTTTCATAAACAAAATCCTTAAAATTTATTTCTTAATAATTCAAAATAATCATTTTTCCAAAATAACTCTTTTAACTTATTTATTACTATAATGATTCAAAATAATCCTTATTACTATAATGATTCAAAATAATCCTTAGAAATATTCTTTCCTCCAAAAACATATCATAATTAATCAAAATCTAATTGTCAAAATATCCTTTCATCACATACGGCTCAAAATACTTATCATACTCCTCTTCAAGAATATCACTACAATAGTAATCAATATCATATAGTATCGTTCGTCAACAATCCCACACATGTTATAACATATCACAGTCTATTCTAAGCAATCAATTTATAACAGATAAAAATAATGGAAATACAAGTAAAGGGAAAGGGGTCTTGCCTCGGGGTTTTGTAGATTGGATCGACGCTGTCGGTGCAGCGCGTTGGCGCTAAAGGGGAGACGGATCTAGCTGAGCGGGTCGGCATTGACGACGCGAGTCAAATCTGATGCGGTGGTGCATGACGGTGATGCCAAAGGCGGTTGTGGGGAGGGCTGCTGAAGGGGGGTTGGACAGCGGTGTGGGCTCGACGTGAGGCTGGGAGCAAGGAGCAGGTTAGGGCATGAGGGGTTGCGGGTTAAGGGGGTGACAGAGTTCGGCGTCAACGACGGTGGAGGAGGTGGGTGTGGGTTGCTTCATCGGCATGGTGGTGTTCGCCAACGGTTGTGGCATCAGTCATCGGCAACGGGGACTGGTTATCGACGACGAGTTGCTGGAGGGAGGCTAGTGAAGAAGAAGTGAAGAAGGAGGATGAGGCTTGGACTTTGATATGAGACACTTCTTTTTCATATTGACATTTTATATGTGTTCTCATTGTCTTTTTTTATGTGAGTGGTGTTTAGCATATTTCTCATTTATGCTTGCTCACATATGTTTGCCATGATATTCATTGCATATATTCCATATGGCATTTTGATAGGGGGAGCAATCCCTATATCTTTCTATATGTTATACTCACCTATGCTTATTGATAGGGGGAGCTTTCGCTCTCTTATTCCTTTGTCCCCTTTTTGATGTTGTCAAAGGGGGAGAAATATTGATATGTATATTCTTTCATGTTTATATGCTTGTGAATTATAATTTATATATTCATTTCCTTTCATGCATATATCTTTTTTTGTAAATTGTTTGTCATCATCAAAAAGGGGAAGATTGTTGGCCTTCTTGTTTTGATGATGATTTACAAACAATTTACTACTAATGTTGTTTGTCTAGTGTTTGTGCATTCCTATGTATTGTAGACAAACAACGTAGTTGGAGGATGGATGGAATAGAGCTTCAACGATGATATCCAATGAAGGTTGGCGGAATTGTGGAGTGAAGCATCGTACAATTCAAGTTAAAGATCAAGTTCAAGCTTCATCCGCAACGTGTACCAAGTTGAGCTACAATGAAGATTAAGATCAAGCTTGGGTAATCTAGTTTAGATTTATATTATGTGTGTTAGATACTCTAAGCTCAATATAATATACACACACATTTTATTGGTTTCTTCGTATATATATATATATAGTTATATATATACACAAGTTTTGGGTTCTATGCATATATATATAGTTTTATATATATACATACATAGTTTTGAGTTTTCATGTTTATAAATATGAAATCACATGTTTCATATTTACTATTGTGTTTTGGTATTTATTGCATAGAATATGCAATTTTGTGAAAATATTATATTCTTAGTTTTTGGACTTAACAATAATCATATACATACTTTATTAAGTCTATATAATCATTGTGCAAAGTTTCAAAACATGGTTTAGCCAAAATGTCAAAATTCACATGTTTCCATTTTCGTGTTTTAGACTATTTTGCAAAATGATGATTTTTCACAAATGGGAAATGCAATTTGGAAAATTCTTTTTGTAACATGTTTGTTTTCATGTTTATATACATTTCCTAAAGTTTCATTATTTTTGGACTTCATTTGTTATTTCTAACATATTTTCAAAAGTCTCAAAAATCTGTTTTAATATCAGTTTTCTGCTGTGTCAGTCTTCGGTCGACCGCACCGGTCGACCGTTCATTTGTTCTTTCGTCGGTATGCAGCAGAGAGTTGGTCGGTCGACCGATGCGGTCGACCGAGAGCTCGATATATACATTTTTTTTTGATTTTGGGCGATTTTGGGCGATTTTGGGCGGTCAGGCGATTTTGAAGATTTGTAGACCTCTGTGGTGGCTTCGGCCATGACGGATCATGATCCAGATCCCATTTTAGAAGAGTATAGAGCCCCCTCCAATCCAAATGCGAGAGTAGAAGCTAATTCTTCAGAAGATCAAGAATGGATCAAAATTGTTCCCCGTCAAAAAAGGTTTCGCAAACCTAATGCCATTTCTTTTGAATCAAAATCTAATTCGGATTATCGAAAGAATCAACACTATGAATTAAGGAAAGATGCTGGAAGGGTTATATCTTCAGAATCCAAGTCAAAATTCAATATGATCCAGAGGCCATAGAATGTCAAATTTACATCTGCTGGTTCTTCAACTTAGAAGGATGTCTGTACTATGGTCAGAGAAATTAGTCCGAACTGTGCTCTGGAATATTTTCCTCCATCTACTGATAGCAAAGGTATGAAATATGCATCTATTCCTAGATTTGAGATTATGTTGAATGTAGAAAAATGGAATAGTACATTAATTGGGTATGTTCTTGGAGACAAACCTTTTTATTCACACCTTAAAGGATGTGTTGGCCGCCTTTGGAAATTAACATGTTCTCTCGAAATATACTCTAGAGAAAATGGATTTTTCTTTTTTAAATTTGGATCAAATGAAGAGATGAACAGAGTCTTGAATGGTGGCCCTTGGTTATTTGATGGAAGATTAATCATTCTGAAAAAATGGACTGAGAATTCAGGCCTTGAACGTGAACTTCTTTCTACTGTGCCAGTTTGGATCAGGTTTCCCTCTTTGCATCTTAAACTATGGTCAAATAATATCATTGGGAGAATTGCTAGTCTTGTGGGGATCCCTCTATATATTGATCAAGCAACAGCTTCAGGTGAGAGATTAGCCTATGCTAGATGTTTTGTAGAAATTTCCTCAAAATCCAAACTCCCAAATTCTGTCAGATTGGATTTAGGAAATGGAGAGTGGTTGGAAACAAACGTAGAGTATGAATGGATACCACCAAAATGTAACAAATGTTTAATTTTTGGTCATGTTAATTATCAATGTCTTGTGGTTCTAGTTGAGAAATGGATCCCTAAAGAATCTTCTATTGAATCAGATAGGAGTATTAATCCAAAACAGGATGGAGCTCAAGATATAACAGTTCCAGATGAAAATCAAGATTGTGTCTGCCCAAATGAAAATCAAGATGAAATTTCTAATAAAGAGGAAGTTTCCAACTCTTTTTCTACAGGTGATACTGCTATGGATGAGTATTTTGATGGAAATGATAGACAAATAAACAAGAATTTTGTTATAGAGGAGGTTCTTCCACATACTGATGAAATTGGTTTTAAAGTCAGAAAAATTGATGAAATTAATATAGATGAAGACTGTTCTGATACTGAGATCCATTTGGAGAAGGAAAAGGTTACTCAATATGTTCTGAATCAAGAAAATCAAGATAATCAACATTTTAAAGTGTTACCAGATAAGAGTAACTGTGAAGATATCACTAAAGAGACTGCAGATACACTAATTCCTTCTATGCAGAATGATACCTCTTATCAATCTGGTAATTCAAGGCTAAACATAAACAATTCTGAAAATATTGATGCCTTACTTGTAGGAAGTGATAAGGAGAAGGAGTCAAATATTGACTTTCCAATCTCTATTGATAACCCTGAATGGTTAAGTGAAAAAAACCAGATACATATGAAGAAGAAAAATCAGTTAAAATTGATGAAAGAGCTATCTTCGGGTCCTAAAAGAGTAACTAGGGCCTCCTCCAACAGTAACTCATGACAATGCTTATTTGGAATGTTCGTGGCATGAATAATGGGGGAAGGAGAAGAGATATTAAAAGACACATCCATTCTTTGAAACCAAATGTTGTTGGTTTGTTAGAGACTAAAGTTAAATCAACTAAATCTTACAGAATCACAAAATGTATTCCATCTCACTGGTCATATTGTAATAACTATACTGCTTCAAGTAGAGGGAGAATATGGGTAGCATGGGATGCTGATATATGGAATGGGACAGTGATTTCAGCCACTCTTCAACAGATTACCATTAAAATGCAAAACATTGGAGGTTTCACTATGATGTTGAGTGTAATATATGGTGAGAACTCTGAACTTCTCAGATCTTCTTTATGGTCTGATATCAGAAATATCTCTACTCAGATTAATAATCTACCATGGATACTTGCGGGAGATTTCAATGTCTGTAGATTCACTTCAGAGAAAATAGGAGGAGTTAAGTTGACAGCAAAGAAACTTAAAGATTTCAATGATTGTCTACAGTTTTGTGGGCTTTCTGATATTAAGAGTATTGGTTCTTCTTGGACATGGCACAACAATCAGGAAGGAATATGCAGAATTTATGGCAAATTGGATAGAGCTCTGGGAAACTAAATGTTGTTTGATAAATTTCCTCAAGCTTATATAGAGTATAAATGTTCTTCTTCTAGTGATCATACTCCAACAGTGGTTCAGCTTGTACCCCTTACTCTTTCAGAACCTAAACCTTTCAAATTCTTTAACTTTTGGACACAATGTAAAGGTTATGAGGAGACAGTTAGCAAAGTATGGTTAAATCATATAGTAGGCTCTCCTATGTTTGTGCTGGTCTCCAAGCTCAAATCCCTTAAAGGTGCTCTGAAACAATGGAATAAACAGCCTGATACTTCACCTAAAGCTAATATCATCAAGTTATCTAACCAATTGAAGATCATTCAAACTATGCTAGATAAGGATATGGATAATGTTGAACTACAAATCACAGAATCAGCTTTGAAATTTGAGCTTAATGGTTGGCTAGACAAGGAGGAGTTGGAACTGAGACAAAAAAGTAGACAGTTATGGTTACAGCAAGGGGATAAAAACTCTGT